ACCCTCAGGAGTTCTGAGCCCCTCAGAGAACAAAGGGCTCACTGAGGCTCCAAGGCCAGGCAGGTGAGGAGCAGAGCGGAGTCCCTGACAAGAGCTGACAAGGCTGCTTGTGCCCCACCAACCCCCCACACCACTGAGGACCTTGCTTCTGGGAGCCTTGACTTACCCATCTGTGAGATGGGGTGATTGGGAGTCCATAGTGGCTGGTTATCACCTGTAACTGTCATATTGTATTTATAATGTACTGGGTTGAATGTTTTTCATATAGGTACTGTTACCATCTTGCATCCAACCCTTGGGGCCAGCTGTGTTTCCAAATCCAGAATTTGGGAGAACTTAGAAATTTGGGTAAGGTAGGACCTATACTGGACACGACTGAGTGTGCACATGCACGCATGTGCGAGTGCACACACACACACACACACACACACGGGACCAATACTGTGTGCTCAGTGACCCACCCCACCCTGCTCCTGGGTGGTGGTGGGGCTGCTATCAAATGTTAGAAACCATCAGAATACTCTCATTAGCAGGCTGAAGACCTCCAGGCGTGCGAATCTGACAGCTGTCTGTTTTTAGAGCCCTTTTGCATTTCAGGATTGCATGTAACAGAATATGATCCTTTATTACTATAATTCGTTCATTCACTTGTTCCTTCGCAAACAGTTCATTCATGCTCAAATAGTTATTGAGCATGCCAGACGCTGCTTCAGGTCTCAGGGACCCAACAGGGAACAACACACACACAAGAACCTGTGTCTACAGGTACTTGGAGGTTTGTGGGGTCATCACACCTCATTTATGGGGCTTCCCAGGTGGCACTCGTTGTAAAGAACCTGCCTGCCAATGCAGGAGACATAAGAGACACAGGTTTGATCCCTGGGTCAGGAAGATCCCCTGGAGGAGGGCGTGACAACCCACTCCAGTGTCCTTGCCTGGAGAATCCCATGGACAGAGGAGCCTGGCGGGCTACAGTCCATGGGGTCGCAAAGAGTTGGACACGACGGAGTGACTTAGCATGCCCTCCTTGTTTACGGATGAGGAAGCCTGTGTTAAACACATCGAACACTCAGGTTTTCTTAGAATCCCTTCCCTATATTGTGTTAAAGGTGGACGTGGCGATGGAATAGTGATAGGCTTGTGAAGTGGACACCATGGTCATGGTCAGCTTGAAGATGAGGAGACGGGTCTGGCCGTGAAGTGACTTCATGGAAGGCAAGGCAGGGCCTGAATGGTCAGTGGGCCCAGAGTCTGGCCCCATTTGGGGCTGGACGAGCACTGTGTGGATGCTGGGGTGTTGCATGGGATTTGAGTCCTGTGGGACCTTCTGCTGGTCGTATGACCTTGGGCGGGTCAGACTCTTGCCTCCAGGGCCTCCGTTTTCTCAGCTGTAAAGTGGGCTCAGGGATTCCTTGGGAGGGCTTCCCGCAGGACTGGAGTTACTGAGCTGGATGCAGAAAGCCTGCAGCAGCCCAGGCTCTGAAACCAAGTGGCTTTTCTTTCTGGGGTCTGGAGAGCAGGGTTTACTGTGCAGCTGGACCTCTCGGAGCGAGGACGGGGGGCGTGTGAAAGGCCGCAGAGGCCCCGGTCCCCGTCGGGATGCTCTGACCTGACTCTCTGGATGTGGAGTCCGACATGCCGGCTTCTGGGCCAGGTGGTGAAACTCAGGTTGAGAGTCCCATCCCCAGCACCCTGTCCTGATGGCAGCTGACCCCATGTAGCACGGAGGGCAGGGTGGCCAGGCCAGCTTCCGACAGAGATGGAGGGCCAAGGGCGGCGGGCGGTGAGCTCAGACACAGCTGGGCTGGCTTCTTGGCCACTCGGGACAGGCTGGCTACACAGCTCTGGGGGCCCAGAGCAGACTGAGAACATGGGCCCCTTGTTCAAAGAGCAGGAAGCAAAGCCCACAAAAAAGGCCCTGACACGCGGAGCTTCTCCCTTTCCACTGCGGTGGGTCCTCCGACTGCTGGTGTTCTTTCTTTGCTATTTGATGTGGGTCTAAGTGAAGAAAAATTATACTTTTAAGTTATTAGCGTGAATTTCACCACTCAGTTTCATGTTGTGCAACACCAGTTCAAAGCACAAATACAAGAGTGTTTATGTGCGGAATCATCGAAATTACACAACTTGCATTTGTAGTTGGTACAAATGCATTGTAACCAGAACTGTGGAAATGCTGCTCAAAAAAACGAACTCGGCTGTTTTCCTTTCACTTCTCGATACTCGCACATTCTTCCAAGACCCTGCCTTTGGAGAGAGGCTTACTGAAAGAAGGAGTAGTAGTAAGTTACTCTCCCTTTCCTTTGCCCCCGTTTTCGGCATCAGTAAACATGAGTCAGGAAGGTTACTAAGATCCCTTGGCTGTCTCTTTCTTAGTGCTGCATGTGAAGTAAGTTTGGGTGGAAAAGGGGGCTTCTCCTGCCTGGCAACCTCCTCTGCTTACTCAATCTTAGATGCAAACTCCTCACCTTGCACTTGATTTGCTTCTTGTTGGATCCTCATGCTTAGGAGGCGTCCACTTGAACTCTGCTCATGGGGCATCGTGAAAGCTACACGGGTACCACACAGCAACAAACAGCAGTGGACACCCACATTATATGTATCTCGTCTGCTTGCATGAGTGCTCCTTTGTCCCGAGAGACTTCACTTGACAAAACATGTTTTCAGATAAAACTATTAGGAATTTAAAGACAGCAACAGCAAAACATTAAACCAACTGTGGGGCCCTGGAGAGCATGGGGCGTGTAGACTGGACATGTCACAAGCTTGAGAAGTTGGCCCTGTTCCGGAGGACACTGTTTCCCTTTCAGAGCGGGGAACTGAGGCCCATGGAGGAGCAGAGGCCCAGGTGAGGTCATGGATGGCCAGACTGGGACCTTCCTGGACCTCAGCGTTCTCCAGATTGGATTGGAGGTCATCACATTTGCCTCACGGGGATGGGGTGCTAGTGAGGAACAGAAGTGGGATTGAGTTTGTCACTGTTTAGTCGCTCAGTTATGTCTGACTCTTCGTAACCCCAAGGACTGTAGCCTGCCAGGCTTCTCTGTCCATGGGATTTCCCAGGCAAGAATACCAGAGTGGGTTGCCATGCCCTCTTCCAGGGTATCTTCCCGATCCAGGGATTGAATCCCCGTCTCCTGCCTTGGTAGGTGGATTCTTTACTACTGAGCCACCAGGGAAGCGCTGGGATTGAGTTTACAGAGGCCGGCTACCATCCTGACTCCTGTGGTTCAATAAGTTCGTTTACTTATTCCTCATGTTGGCTGACCATTTACTCTGTGCCAGGCATGACTGACCCGATCCTAGTCCCGAGGGACTTCGAATCTGGGGGACGGGGCCCTTCTTTCAGCCTAGATTCACTGTTTGGGCCATGCCCTGTGCACACCCTGAAGCCAGAGGCCACAGCTCTCATCACCCCTTGGTAGGTGGCCAGAGGGTGGGACGTAAGTGACAGCCCCTGACCGATGTGTCATCAGAGACGGGCTGCGAATTTGCTGAGCGTTTCAACAGCTCAAGAAAGGGCATTCTAGGAAGAGGTCATGACCTGGGCGAAGGCTTTGGAGTAGAGACGGTATCAGGGGAAAGCTGCCAAAGCCTAGAACCTGGAGGAGGAGCGGTGAAGGCAGAGGTGGAGGTTTGAGCCAGAGGCCCCAGAGGAGAGCCCCAAGGTCACGTGACTCTAAATCCCACCCCCCCTCACACACCCCCACCAGGATGATTCCTGGGCCAGGCCCCCGGCCAAGATTGCTGCTTGGAACTTGGCTCTTTGTACGGAGCCAAAGGATCCCTGACAGCCTGGCCTCATGGATGAGATGTGCCAGATTTTTCTCTTTCTTCCCTCCCTCCTCTGTTCCCTCTCTACCCCCTCCTCTCCCTCTTCCCTTCCTTCCCTCCCTTCCTCCCTTCCCTCCTCCCTTCCTTCCTTCCCACCCCCCTTCCTTCTTCCTCCATCCCTCCCTTCCTTCCTTCCCAGGCCTGGGTCCTAGAAGTTCTTCAGCTGAGTCTCTACATGAAAACAATAGCGACTTTGCTTATCCAGCTGACTGTGTTAAGTGCGGGGCCAAGACTGTGCCTTCTCCCCAGATCCCCCTTCCTCCACCCCATCATCTTAGTGATGAGGAAACAGCTCAGAGAACTGAGGTGACTCCCCCAGAATTACCGTGAATGGGGTAACCGGGTTTAAGCCCAGGCCATTTGATGCTTTCCTGCGTGTCCAGAACCACCAGACCAGACTGCCGCAGGCCTGCCTGCTTACACTTCACTGCCCTTTCTGCCTCATCACCTCTTTTCCCTCCACCTGTTGAACTCACTGTTCAGAACCCTGCTCAGATGGCCTTTTCTTTGCTTCCTTAAGCACCCAAACTCCTCTCCATCCCACAAATACCTGAGTACCTCTATATTCCAGGGCATGGTGCCAGGTCCTAGAGAAACACAGATGAATAAACTTCCCTGGTTCTGCACAGGAGGAGTAAACACACACTAATGCATTGTTCCTAACTGTGAAGACATGTACGAAGGACATAAACAGTGTGCTTTAATAAGGAATGAAAGGCTGGGATTGCTCCAGGTGATGAAAGAAGTTCTTTTGAAGGGGTGCAATTTGTTTTTTTTTTTTTAAAGTTAAAAATTCCTTAATTTTTTATTCCTGGTACCACTACCACAATATACAGGGCAATATACCTGATGTAATGAAAAGAAAAAGAAAAAGACAAAGCTACAACAGATAGAAGACCTCAGGAATGTACATCTAATTGACACTACATTGCATTAATCAATAGCTGCACTTTTTGCAAACTGTGGCTATGACAGTCCTGAACAAGAAGGGTTTCCTGTTTAAGCTGCAGTAACTTTTCTGACTATGGATCATCGTTCCTCCTGTGGCAGATTTTTACAGTTCCTCTAACGCATTTGGGACGACTGTCTCAGAGTAACCTGCAGCTTTCCTGACAACTCCTCGCTCTCTCTCCTGCTAAGAACTGTAGCCCTTTTCTTCTGAGTTTTTAGAACCTTCTGCTACCATATCCACCACTTCCACCACCAGATCCATAACCACCACCACAGGGACTGCACGAGCTTCTTCCACCAAAACCACCCCCTTTCATGGGTCCATAATTTGATTGCTGTTGTCCACTATAATTTCCAAAATCATTATAGTTTCCACCACCATAGTTACCTCCAAAATTTCCTCCTTCATTGTAACCATCATATCCTCCACCACCACCACCATATCCACCACCTTGGTTTCCATATCCTGGTCCACCACCACCGTAACCTCCTCTACTACTATAACCAGGACCACCGCCATAGTTGCCACCATCACCTCCAAATCCATTGTATCCACCATCACCTCCTCCATAACTCCCTCGGCTGCCACCACCTCCATCACCATAGCCTCCTCTTCCACCAAAGTTTCCACCACGGCCAAAGTTACCTCCACCACCTCCAAAGTTTCCTCCACAACGCATAAAGTTGCCAGATCCACCTCCACGACCTCGTTGTGATCCAGCCGATTGCATCTCTTGTTTAGAAAGGGTCTTTTTCACTTCACAATTATGCCCATTAATAGTGTGGTATTTCTGAACAATTTTATCAACTGTATCATGATCATCAAAAGTTACAAAAGCAAATCCTCTCTTTTTCCCACTCTGCCTGTCTTCCATAACTTCTATGGTTTCAATCTTGCCATACTTTTCAAAGTAGTCTCTCAAATTATATTCTTCTGTATCTTCTTTAATACCACTAACAAAAATTTTCTTCACTGTTAGATGGGCACCAGGCTTTACAGAATCCTCTCTAGAAACAGCTCTCTTTGGCTCCACTACACGCCCATCAACCTTGTGTGGTCAAGCTAACATTGCTGAATCCACTTCTTCAACACAAGAGTAAGTCACAAAGCCAAAGCCCCTGGAACGTTTTGTTTGGGGGTCTCTCATCACCACACAATCTGTAAGTGTGCCCCATTTCTCAAAATGTTCTCTTAAGCTATCATCTGTAGTTTCAAAGCTCAGACCACCGATAAACAGCTTTCTCAACTGCTCTGGTTCCTTGGGATCATGACCCTCCATTTTGAGACCGGACTCGCCTCTTCCAACTCGAGTTCAGAAGGGGTGCAGTTTGAAAGCGCCTTCCAGGCCCAGGAACTGGCAAGTGCAAAGGCTCTGGGGCAGGAAGTGCCTGCTGTGTGCAAGAGCAGCGAGGAGGCCGGTGCAGTTAGAGCCGGGGAGAGAGGACCGGGTGGTTGGAGATGACCCTGTGAGGCGGGCCAGCCTCACGTAGAGTCGTCCCCTGAGGCACTGGGGTTTTGGGGTTCTCTGCCTCCATCCTGGGCCAGAGGGATCAGATGAAGTCCCCCTAGTGTCCCAGGGCAGGGCCTGGCACCCAGGAGGTCAGCGGGTGGGTGACAGGCAGCTCCCCACCCCCCTCCTCTCTTCTGCGCAGGAACGCAGCTGGGCGGTCCCCACTTTGCTGCCCCTTCCCCAGGGCACCTCCTCCAGCCCACAGAGGGCCAGCCGGACGGGAGCAGGGCCTGAGGGGTGCTGACGCAGGACCCGGGAGGGGCCCGGGAGGCCCTCTTTTGGGCGGCAGTCACCATCTGCAGCTCATTTTCCGGTGTCATCTGCATTCTCTCTGAAATCATTTATTTGTGGAGGTTCCAGCCAAATGCTCTGTCACGAAGCCTACAGCTCTAAAAGGAGCGTCACGGGAGCTGGTGGGCATGGGGTCTAGCCCCTCCGGGCGTCCCGACTGCCCAGACTCCCTCTCCAAGCTCCCTCCTGCCCAAGGCAACTGCACTTTGGGAGGGGGCGGGAGAGAGCGTTGAGTCACACCGACTCCCCTTGTGCCAGGCTCCGTGTTCAGAAAGCACAACTCAGACTCCGCGGGCGCCGGGCACAGGGCGGAGGCCGCCGTCCACACCAAGGTCCAAGCGTGCAGCTTCCAGCTCACGGCAGGGGAGCCCCGACGCTCACGGTTATGGTGGGCGGCTCTGCCAGGTGGAAAACAGATCTGTGGGCTCCAAGCCCTGCGACTCCCCGCTCAGGATAGGAAGGGAAGGGTCCTCTGAGGTCCTTTACCCAGCCTTGTATAGTTGAGGAAACGAGGTCCTTCAAACAGACGGGAAAGGGCGGAGCAGGGATTTACACTAGGAATGTCTGCTTCAGAGGACACATGATGTAACTTCGGCCGTAAAAAACGGTGAAACTTCTAAATGTGTGGGACTGGCTCGGCTCAGAGAGGATGCTGGGGAGACAGAGTCCTGCCCCTAGCTCCCCATGGGGCACGTCATACCTGCCAGTGTGTCTTGAAGAGTGGGGTGCAGTCCCCTGGGCGGGACATGAGATGAATCGGTTTGAATTCCCTAGTGAGACGGCTGTTTCCTCCCAGTTCCATGACATCAGGGGAAGACTCCTGTGGGTGCTAATGTGACTTTAACATCTCTCTCCAGCTCTTACTCATCTCCTGGTTTAACCAAGAAGTCCAGAACCTTCTGCAGGCTGTGCTGTCTGGCTAGAATTTAGTGGCCGTTTCCTCGGTGGCTCAACAGCAAAGAATCTGCCTGCCAGGGCAGGAGACGTGGGTTCGATCCAGAGAAGATTACTGAGATTCCCCAGAGAAGAACACTGGAGTGGGTTGCCACTTCCTTCTCCAGGGGATCTTCCCGACCCAGGAATCAAACCAAGGTTTTCTGCATTGCAGGCAGATTCTTTACTGACTGAGCTACAAGGGAAGCCCGGCCTGACGATTAGGCTTTGCCTAATGGTGATGGTGGCGAAGATGGCGTTGATGATTGTAATGATGGGATGACGAAAGTGGTCATAATGATGGTGGCGGTGATGGTGCTGGTGACGACGATTATGATGGTGATGATGCAATGATGTTGATGGTGGTGATATGGTCATGGTGTTGGTAGTGGGGATGATGGTTACAATGATGGTGTCGGTAATCCGTGGTGGGAACAGCACAACTGTGTGCGTTGTCCCTGAGTCGTGTCTGACTCTGCGACCCTGTGAACTGTAGCCTGCCAGGCTCCTCTGTCCATGGAATTTTCCAGGCAATACTGGAGCTGGTTGCCATCTCCTAGTCCTTCCTGACCCAGGGATGGAACCTGCATCTCTTGCACCGGCGGGTGATTCTTTACCACCAAGCCACCTGGGAAGCCCACAACAGCACAAATACTCCTCTTGACGAATCTTGACTTTTATATTCCTCACCTCATTGTTATGATTAAACCACTATCCTGTGGGGTCAACTTCATTTTTATCCCCATTTTTCAGATGAGGAAACTGAGGCTTGCCCATGGCCACCTAGCTGAAGACTAGCAGAGTGGGGTGGGGTGGGGTGCCAGGCTGGTCTAACAACTGAGCATTGAGCTCTGGACCCCATGCCTCCTGCTTCCAGGCAGCAGGTGGTACGGCTGGGTGTGCTCCACCCCTCCCCCAGCCCAGGAGGCGGGGAGAGCAGGTTCCCTCTTCTCTGGCCTTTGTCCTTCTCTGACCCTAGGAGTCTAGGCTTTGACGGCACTGACTGCACCTTCAGCAGGGAGCTTGTCATCCCCTTGGCACTGGAGGCTGTGGAGGTCCCCAGGGAAGGAGAAGAAGACTTTCCACAGTCCTTATTTCTTTTGTGCCAAACCCTTGCCAGTGTGAGATGAGTGTAGAGGAATTTGGTCCATGTGGATCCAATTTCTCTTGGAATATACAGCAAATGATGCTGGACAAAGGCAGGCGGCCTTGGCTAGGCCTAAAATATGCGGGCGATTGCTTCTGAGATGTTTGACAACTCCAAGACTCAGCAGAATGGCCGGCAGTGCTGAGCGAGGGCAGCCGGTCCAGGCGTGAGCAACCAAACGCCACGGCTCATCCTGTGACTGTGCCAGGGACACATGGATAGGGACCAAGATGCAGGGGGAGTTCAGCCAGGCTGGGCGAGGTGCTGAGCAGGGCTGCCCAGGCACAAGAGACTCTTCCCTGTGAGAAACAGCATCACATAGTGTCAGGACTGGGGGTTTGTTTTCCTGCTGTGTAACCTGAGTGAGTCTCTCTCTCTATTTTGGAGGTTGCACTGTATTGCATGTGGAATCTGACCCCTGCTGTGGAAGTGTGGAGTCTTGATCACTGAACCACCAGCAAAGTCCTCTGAGTGAGTCTCTTGACCTTGCTTAGACTTAGGGGACTCGCTGTGAAATGTGGGCAGGCAGAACTGGGGAGTGTCAGGCAGAACCAAAGCAAGTATCCTGTTTTTATTTGACTTCCTTTTCCTTCCAGGCATCTTAACACTTATGATGGGGGCTGCCATTCATAATCTCCCACCCACTGACTGCAGTGATTATCTAAAGATGGGCATGTGACCCACACTGGGCCAATCAGAGCCCTCTCTGGCATAATGTCCCACCCACTGACTGCAGTGATTGGTCTAAAGATGGGCATGTGGCCCCCACTGGGCCAGTCAGAGCTTTCTCTGGGATTTCTGCTTTGGGGCTGGATGAAGGCTAGTTCTTTTCCTCCATGAGATGAGCTGTCCTTTGTTCTGTGGAGAGGTAGGTCTGAGAGAAAGAAGGTGCCCAGTAAAGAGAGAAGCAGATGAAGACAAAGGAAATGTCCAGGTGAGGTTGGCATCCTGGAGACCTGTCTCACACCTGTCTTCCTCACAGAATTTTTGGTGGCTAGAGCCAAGAACATCTTTTGCTTTGCTTAAGCTCAAACACGAGCTTTGGACTTGTGTTTCTGTCTCATAAGATTAAAACAGTATTGATAAATGCAAGCCTTTCTTGGCCTCCAAGGCATCTCCAGGATTCATTACCCTCATTGTTCCTCAGAGCCACTCTCTGAGATCAGTATTAATATTCCTATTTACTGATATTAATAATCATAATCATGCCTATTTCCCAAGAACTCAGTGTTGTACCAGCCGCTGAGCTAAGCCTCTTGTAGGAATTCTCTTATTGCATCATACCATGATCTTGGAGGCAGTGTGTATTGATATGCTCACTTTACAGATAAGGAAATGGAGAGACATAGGGGTTAAGGGACTGCCAGCTGGCAAGTGGCAGAACCAGACTGCAAACTCAGGCCAAGTTTTCAACCCCCTTGTTACTGGTCTGTGATGGTGGTATTGATGATGGCGAGCAGAGATTTACTGAGCACATACTGTGTGGTCAGCAATTCAGATACATCGTGTCTTTCAGTTCTCACGATGGCCCCTGAGGTCAATCCCATTTTTTATTCCTTTTATTTTATTTTGCAAGTGAGGCAAAGAGGCTTAGCAAGGTTGGCAACTTATCAGATGTCACATGGATTGAAAATACGAACCCAGGTTGCCTGTGCTATTCCAAGATGGCACACATAAGTTCTATACCAGGGGGCTGGAGGTATTAGAAAAGACCTCAATTCATTCTCCCAGTTCCTTCCTCTCTCAGTGCCTCTTTATGATGTGGCTTTGCATCTTCTTTCATCAAGAGGCAACGTCT